ATGAGCTCATCTGTGTGCTGGTTGTCTTGTCCAGTCACAGGGCTCAGGTGGAAAGGAAACCTATAAGTAAAAGTGAATATGCAAAGATCAGTTCCTCTCCCAAAGACCAAAGAAGGATCAGTTCTCCTCTCACGGATCAAAGAAGGATCAGTTCTCCTTTCACGGACCAAAGAAGGATCAGTTCTCCTCTCCCAAAGATCAAAGAAGGATCAGTTCTCCTCTCACGGATCAAAGAAGGATCAGTTCTCCTCTCACAGATCAAAGAAGGATCAGTTCTCCTCTCGCGGATCAAAGGAGGATCAGTTCTCCTCTCACAGATCAAAGAAGGATCAGTTCTCCTCTCGCGGATCAAAGGAGGATCAGTTCTCCTCTCACAGATCAAAGAAGGATCAGTTCTCCTCTCGCGGATCAAAGGAGGATCAGTTCTCCTCTCACAGATCAAAGAAGGATCAGTTCTCCTCTCGCGGATCAAAGGAGGATCAGTTCTCCTCTCACAGATCAAAGAAGGATCAGTTCTCCTCTCGCGGATCAAAGGAGGATCAGTTCTCCTCTCACAGATCAAAGAAGGATCAGTTCTCCTCTCGCGGATCAAAGGAGGATCAGTTCTCCTCTCACAGATCAAAGAAGGATCAGTTCTCCTCTCGCGGATCAAAGGAGGATCAGTTCTCCTCTCACAGATCAAAGAAGGATCAGTTCTCCTCTCGCGGATCAAAGGAGGATCAGTTCTCCTCTCACAGATCAAAGAAGGATCAGTTCTCCTCTCGCGGATCAAAGGAGGATCAGTTCTCCTCTCACAGATCAAAGAAGGATCAGTTCTCCTCTCGCGGATCAAAGGAGGATCAGTTCTCCTCTCACAGATCAAAGAAGGATCAGTTCTCCTCTCGCGGATCAAAGGAGGATCAGTTCTCCTCTCACAGATCAAAGAAGGATCAGTTCTCCTCTCGCGGATCAAAGGAGGATCAGTTCTCCTCTCACAGATCAAAGAAGGATCAGTTCTCCTCTCGCGGATCAAAGGAGGATCAGTTCTCCTCTCACAGATCAAAGAAGGATCAGTTCTCCTCTCGCGGATCAAAGGAGGATCAGTTCTCCTCTCACAGATCAAAGAAGGATCAGTTCTCCTCTCGCGGATCAAAGGAGGATCAGTTCTCCTCTCACAGATCAAAGAAGGATCAGTTCTCCTCTCGCGGATCAAAGGAGGATCAGTTCTCCTCTCACAGATCAAAGAAGGATCAGTTCTCCTCTCGCGGATCAAAGGAGGATCAGTTCTCCTCTCACAGATCAAAGAAGGATCAGTTCTCCTCTCGCGGATCAAAGGAGGATCAGTTCTCCTCTCACAGATCAAAGAAGGATCAGTTCTCCTCTCGCGGATCAAAGGAGGATCAGTTCTCCTCTCACAGATCAAAGAAGGATCAGTTCTCCTCTCGCGGATCAAAGGAGGATCAGTTCTCCTCTCACAGATCAAAGAAGGATCAGTTCTCCTCTCGCGGATCAAAGGAGGATCAGTTCTCCTCTCACAGATCAAAGAAGGATCAGTTCTCCTCTCGCGGATCAAAGGAGGATCAGTTCTCCTCTCACAGATCAAAGAAGGATCAGTTCTCCTCTCGCGGATCAAAGGAGGATCAGTTCTCCTCTCACAGATCAAAGAAGGATCAGTTCTCCTCTCGCGGATCAAAGGAGGATCAGTTCTCCTCTCACAGATCAAAGAAGGATCAGTTCTCCTCTCGCGGATCAAAGGAGGATCAGTTCTCCTCTCACAGATCAAAGAAGGATCAGTTCTCCTCTCGCGGATCAAAGGAGGATCAGTTCTCCTCTCACAGATCAAAGAAGGATCAGTTCTCCTCTCGCGGATCAAAGGAGGATCAGTTCTCCTCTCACAGATCAAAGAAGGATCAGTTCTCCTCTCGCGGATCAAAGGAGGATCAGTTCTCCTCTCACAGATCAAAGAAGGATCAGTTCTCCTCTCGCGGATCAAAGGAGGATCAGTTCTCCTCTCACAGATCAAAGAAGGATCAGTTCTCCTCTCGCGGATCAAAGGAGGATCAGTTCTCCTCTCACAGATCAAAGAAGGATCAGTTCTCCTCTCGCGGATCAAAGGAGGATCAGTTCTCCTCTCACAGATCAAAGAAGGATCAGTTTTCCTCTCACGGATCAAAGAAGGATCAGTTCTCCTCTCGCGGATCAAAGAAGGATCAGTTCTCCTCTCGCGGATCAAAGAAGGATCAGTTCTCCTCTCGCGGATCAAAGAAGGATCAGTTCTCCTCTCGCGGATCAAAGAAGGATCAGTTCTCCTCTCACGGATCAAAGAAGGATCAGTTTTTCCCTTTCACGGATCAAAGAAGGATCAGTTCTCCTCTCACGGATCAAAGAAGGATCAGTTCTCCTCTCACGGATCAAAGAAGGATCAGTTCTCCTCTAATGCCCTCCTCTTTTTGGAAGAGGGTTGCACCCTTGTGCACTTTGCAGTGATTTCACTGTTCACGTGTTTTTGTTACGATGCACGCATTGCAAAAAACAAACAAACAATGGATCTGAGATAGAAGTGCCAACCACAAGTTAATTGTCCATGTGCCATTGTATTCCAATGGAAGGTCAGATAGGAGATCTCGCACTCGTGAGGCTTCCTCATTCCATCTTCCATCTGACCTTCCATTGGAATATTAATTTGTGGTGTGGAACTTCTATCTCAGATGCATTGTTTTACAGGGCTGTGCTGTGCAAACCGCTCCTATACATATGTGTGTGATACGTGTAATTAGCTGCTTGTCTGGAGCTCAGAACAGAAGTGCGGTTTACATCTGCAGGAGCATGCTGAAGGTGTGCACAGGGATAGAGTACAGACATGCTTAGATCTGCCTTAGCCCATTGATATGCCTTACCTGTCAGCCTCAACAATTCTGAGTCATGGCTTGTGTCTGGGGAGGGGAAGAAGGGTGTTTCTGTACCCAGCACGCCCCAATCTTCTGTCAAATAAAAGTCTTTTCTGTAGGTGCAGCCGATCATGTACCTTTTAGTAGCCGCAGCGTCACGTCTCCAGGGATTGCAGGGGATGCTGAGTTTTGTACTCTTTTGTATGATTCATCCCTGATACCTAAGAAATGTAAAGGGAAGGCCACACAGAGATGCTGGTCTATTGTATTACAGTGACTGTTAGAGTTAAGAAAATGTAACAGATTCCTCAATCAACACTTATCAGTGTTAATCGAAGAATCCCCCGCTACTTCTATTGTATTCTGACAGTGGCCGCTGTCACAATACCCAAACAGAGGTTGCAAACACGATTGTGTTTGGCCAAAGGTTTTCCATCATGTTCCTTCAGCAAAACTCAGATCCAATGATTGACTTCTGCTGAAGGAATAAGGCACCAATGCAGTGGATTTTGAGCGATTCCTGCTGAATCGGCCCAAATTTGTTGGGCGTGTATTCAGCTTTGCAGCTTGACACACTTGGAAAGGAGATAAGGCAACCTATGTGGGGGTTTGCAGCCTGACACTGAGATAGAACATAGGGCAGCCACTGTGGGGGGCCTCACAGCTTGCCACAGGCAGGAAATAAGGCATCCTCTGTCCAGGACTTGCAGGTTGATGCTTTTTATTAATATTATTATTACATCGTATTTATATAGCGCCAACAGTTTGCGCAGTGCTTTACAATATAAGGAAGACATTACAATTCAAGACAAGATGGTAAGGAGAGCCCTGCCCCTGAGGGCTTACAATCTAAAAGAGGAGGGGGAAATGATACATGAGGAGGTAGCTGTGTGGGGATGAATTGTTTGAGAATGTGATGGTTGAGCGGTTAGGTTGAGGTGGAATAGGCTTCCCTGACGAGATGAGTCTTAAGGGATCGCCTAAAGGCAGTCAGTGTGGGAGATAGATGGACAGGTTGGGGTAAAGAGTTCCAGAGGATGGGAGAGACTCTAGAGAAGTCCTGGAGGCGAGTATGGGAGGAGTTGATGAGGGAGCTGGAAAGCAGGAGGTCAATGGATACTTTGAGACCAGGTCTGAGATATATCCGAGGGCAGAATTGTGGATGGCTTTGTAACTGATTGTTAATATTTTTAATTGTATCCATTTGGGCGAGTGGAAGCCAGTGCCGGACTGACAGAGTGCGGTGGGTGATGGAAGCCAGTGCAGGGATTGGCAGAGGGGGGTGGGTGATGGAAGCCTGTGTAGGGATTGACAGAGGGGAATGCAGACACGGAGCGGTTGGTCAAGTGAATGAGTCTAGCAGCTGCATTCACCATAGACTGAAGGGGGGAGGAGCCTGTGTAGTGGGATAAAATACAGCTGAATAGCATTACAAGCAGCCATTCCTGGGAGGTGAATCTGCACTGATGACAGTCCAGTAGATTGAGATTGCTACAAATGCCTGTTATTAACTGGTTGTGTAGTTAGACATTTATTAAAGGAACATGAAAGAATTCCCTTTACCTTTCAGCTTATAACCTGGCCAAGGAGCAAAGGCTGAACTTTGGAGATGACATCCCGAGTGCTCTAAGGATTGCCAAGAAGAAACGCTGGAACAACATAGAAGAGCGGAGGATCAACCAGGAGAACGAACTGCATGCCTATCTCACCAAACTCATCCTGGATGAGAAGGAAAGGTGAGCCCCCCCGGGATTCTTCCACAGTCACAGCTTGGAGACCCTCACTTCTCCCATTCTTGGCAAAGTGAAAGTGTCTGCACAAAGCCAAACCCCCCCCCAGACATGGTTCCTCACCACCTGCCCGCTGCAGCATTCCCGTCTGTCTAAGCTCCAATGTCGGAAAGGTGTTGGAGCGTAAACGGGGGTGATGACGTAGGATGATGACATGGGACTCCTTCATGGGACAGTGTTCAGTCCTGATGATTGGCTGCTCAGCCCTGAGCACTGTCCCATAGCCAAGATCACATGCTCCCCCAAACCCAAAATCCTACTCTGTCAGCAAGGGCAGTGCGGGGAGGTGATGAGGGACTGTGGCCAGGTAAGTATACATGTGTGGGGAGGATGGGGAGTTGTGTGCCGGAATGGGAAAAGTGACATTATCTCTCATTGCTTATACCTCACCCTGATTTGAAGCAAGAGAGCACCGAAGGTCTATGTAAGCTTCAATATTGGACAGATTATGCCGGCTCCCTCTTCATCTAAAGATGCTTGGACCCGGCTATTGGCTGCTCAGGCACAAAGCACTGCATTGTGGGGAGGCTGGTGGAGTGTCTCATGTACTTGCAAGTAGCAGGTATTTTGCTGAGCTGCAGAGATGGATCGGAGGGACTGGAGAGTGAGTGGGAAGTTCAGTTAAAGATTCTGAGGCCTGTTATGGAAAAACTACAGGTTTGCTTTAAAGCCTTGGTTCTCAACTGGTGGGTCGTGACCCAAAAGTGGGTCGCGACCCCATGTTCAGTGGGTCGCCGTGTGCCTTCCACTATGCTAGGTGAGAGACTCCTCAGCTCCTCCTGTCAGTTCTCTCGCCAAGCAGCCATTCAAAATCTGCTGCCTGGTGCCGAGTGTCAGCTTGAGGTGGGATGGGCTGGGGGTATGACCGTGCGGGAGCTCCAGCCACACCGTACCACTCCCTTACGTGCCCTGTAGAGGTGCCTGGACCGGAGTGATATCCCATTCTGGCTCCTGGCACGTCTACAGGGCACTCAAGGGAGCTGTACAAGCATTGTATATATGGATGGAGCTCCGTCACAGCACAGCAGCCCACACTGGAGTCCAGGCTGGGCATGCACTCCAGCTCTAGTAAGGTATGGATCTTTGAATGACATCCTAAACGCACCTCCCACCCACAGTTCGATCGCCCGCACCGGAACGTGCGGTACCGCAATGTTGTGCGTTCCATTGCAGTGCGACTTGGGTCGCGACTTAATGACCAAGGACAAATGTGGGTCCTGAGGTTACACAGGTTGAGAACCGCTGCTTTAAAGGACAACTGTGCCTGTGCCGCAGCCCAATTCATTCTTATGGGGAGTCATACAAATGGCGGCCTCCAGTGGTTCTGCACAGTACCCCTCTTCTCAAAGGATTATAAGGGGGCCATGCCGTGTGTGTGCAGGATGGAGACCCGGCCGGGAACCTTTTCTTTTCTGAAGCAAAGGCCGTGGCGCTCCGAGCAGCAGGGCTGCACAGTGAAGGTCGCTGACATGGGATTGGAGGTAAGTATCTGACCTGGTGGGCTGCACTCGGGGATGTGGGGCCATGCCTTAGATCAAACATTGTACCAAAGGTATAGTTGTCCTTTAGACAGGATCATGGTGTTTAGCCTGTAGAGGATTTTTGTAGCTGATGTTATGCATTTATTTTTAGAGAAATTGAAGAAACAAAACGGAAACATGAGGAAGAGAACGTGGAGGAGAACAGGAGCCGAGTTCAGCTGTCTTGTGTGGCCAACAAACATGTGAGTACATTTTTGGAAACTGAATATCCATCTAAAGACCTTAAAGACACAGTTGCTAAAAGTAAGGATGCACTGATACCGATACCGAGTATTTGGGCGAGCACTCGTACTAGCCCAAATGCTTCCGATGCCTAGCCTGCTACCGGAGCATCCGATATCAGGAAGCCGGGCAGCGAGTCATTATATGCAATCAGTCCCTTGCTAATCAAGAAGCCAAGTGGCAAGTCATTAGACGCCACCCGGCTTTCTTAATGGGACTTCCAGTATTGGTATTCGGTATCTGTGCATCCCCCTAGCTTAAAGAGACTCTACAAAGAATCTTCACACGGGAAACACTTTCATGTGTACCAGATGTCTGGTCTCCTGGTCTGCTCGGTGGTTTCACCCACTGACTTACCTCACTACTAGTAACAAGGGGCGGACGGATGGAATCATATCGCATGGAGGGGACACAGGTATCGGACACACCCGGTAATGTTGGCTGCTGAACATATAAACATTCTTGTACACAGGGAATTTTTTTTTTTTTATAGTGACAGAGTCTTTTCGAGGCATTTCCTTACAATGATTTCTCATAGTTTGCTTGGGAGTATACTTCAGCACGTCATGTCAAAAATGTTCTGTGACTGGCCTGGAGTTCTAAGTCTGGAGCAGAGACTGCTGTGACTGCTGTGGTTCAGTCTACTCTCTGCTGCATCATATGGCATCACCTCATAAAAGAAAATCACAAACATTTCTGTTTCTTTTTTATTGCTCAGGATAAGTATTTGGCAGAGATGGATGAATTATTTTCTCAAGTAGATGAAAAACGCAAGGTGAGTAACTGTATATTAATATGGATAATGGTTCGTTGTATTTTCTATATGCAATGCAGGCAGATCATAAGTGGAGGGAGAGGCCAGTGAATGAGTGGTGAAAGTCACATTCACTTCTTTATAAATATGCTCCTAAATGTGATGTCTGTGTATGTGGTCAGGGATTGTGCGGCTGCGTCATTCACTAAGCAACCTGTACTTGTGTTGTTGCACAGAAGCGGGACATCCCGGATTACCTGTGTGGGAAGATCAGCTTTGAGCTGATGAGAGAGCCTTGTATAACTCCCAGCGGGATCACCTACGACAGGAAGGACATTGAGGAGCACTTGCAGGTAATATCCTTGGCATGTACTGTATTAAACTACCAGGAAATTGGCAGCTATGTGTTTCCATAGCAACTGGTTACAAAAACAAAAAATGATCTAATTATAAATCAGAATATTGTTTTCAAATGAGGAGCAGCCAATTACATATTTTCATTTGGCAGCTTGCTCTCCAAGCTATAATCCTACCTTATTTGCCTCCTGAGGTGGCCAGGAGAAGGGGGGAGTGACGGGCAGCCGAGCTGTTAGCCGGATGGGAGGCGGTTGGCAGCCGAGCTGTTAGCCGGGTGAGAGGTGGTTGG